AAGTAGTCGAGACCCTGCTTGACGGCAGCGACGGCCCCCAGGTCATGTCTGGCGGTCGGGATGCGTCGAAAGAAGGACCTGTTGTGTGAAGCACGGAGCACGTGCGTGAACAGCCCTGCTGGCAGGCGTGTCCATGACAGGGGGATGCCCCAATCATCGCATAGCGTGCAGCAGGTTGGCCATCTCCGTTCGAGTTGGACAATGGTTTGCCACGCTCTACCCACTGGGCCTCCTCCTCCTCACAAGGATTGCGCGTGGTCGCGCAGCATTTTGGCCTTGGCGTCGTGGCCTCGAAGTTCAGCTTGGCGCCGTCAACCACAGGTGCGCCGTTGTTGCGGTTTCCCACAAATTTCATTTTCTGGCGAGCAACTCAGATGGAGCCAAGTGTGTGGGGAACAACGGTAGAGATCTTATGGCAGTCAGAGCAGAGGTGCCAATCTCAACAAAAGGAAACAAAACAGAAGGGAGGAGGGAGGGGGAGGGGGAAGGAGGGGCGTGCGATGGAAGGAATGTTGGGGAATGGAGCGAGGGGGGCCCGGAGGAGCGGGTGCGAGCGCGGGAGGAGTGAAAGGAGGGGCAGGAAAAGGGGGAGGAGGGGGAGATGGGGGTAAGGATGGAGGGAGAATGGGGGAAAGGGACCGGAAGGGGAGGGAGGCAGGGCGGCGTTTTTCGGGACGGGTTGTTGAGCGCCCATGCAGGAGTCTGAGTGGAAGCCAGAAGACAAGGAGGAGGAGGAGGAGGAGGAATGGGGGGAGGACGAAGAGGATAAGGGGGAGAACGAAGATAAGGAGGAGGGGAAATGGGAGAGAGGGGGAGGACAAGCTAGGTGTGCTCGCGCCTCATCCGACATCCGATCCCTCCCTCCCATCATTCCCCATTGCGCTGATGCTTGCTCTATCCGCGGACGCGTGCCATAGCCGACCTGCAACTCCCGCAACAAAACCATCCAAGTATGCACATTCGGAGAAATAGGAGCTGTGTGCACAGGAGGAGGTGGCGGTTGAGCAGGAATACGCGCAGGAGGAAAAGGAGAAGGATGTGCAAGGAGGAGGACGAGGACGAACAGCAGCAGCAATAATTGGAGTGGAAGGAACGGGAAGACCAGGAGGGTCAGGGGAAGACGGGGGAGGGGAAGTGAGGTGGGCGACAACGATGAAGAAAGGTGGGATTCACAACAGTGGCCCACGCTGAGGCGAGAGCGAAATTTTGAACGACGGGAGCAAAGCGCTGATCCGAAATTGAGGCCAACGCTACAGCGGGATCACCACTTTGGAAGAATATTCGGCTTGTTAAAACCAGCAACCACGTCACAGTTTGGAATCCTGCGTGTGAACAGCACGCGGAGAGGGTGGGATATCTTCCGCACGGACTCAAGGGAGAAAGGATAATAGCATTCATTATGTGCATTTTTCGGGGGGGTGAAGAAGAAGAAGAAGAAGAGAGGGAGAAAGAAGCGAAGGGAGAAGGCCGAGGAGGATTCCGGAAGAGGAGGGGCCGAGAACGGGGAAGGAGGAGGGTGGACATGAGAAGCAGGCAGGAGAAGGAGGAGGACAACAAGAGGAAGAGGGAGGGGGCGAGGAGGTGTAGGAGGAGGAGGAGGAGGAGGAGGAGAAGGGGTAGGGAGCTTTGACAGGCCCCCATGGGGAGACTTCGATCGCGCAGTGTCACACAAAGGAGAAGCGAGAGGGCAAGAGTGCAGAGTGGTGCGCGGTCATTTCCGCACTCCTCGGGGCGCAGTCGCACACCTGCGCATCATCTTCGGCAGCGCCTGATCCCAGGGCTTCGCCCTCTCCCGGCCGCGTGAGGCCCCGCCTTCTTTCGCCCTTTCTCTGCGAATTAAAGCTGCGCGCGTCCCGCTTAGCTTTCAGCGGAAGAGGTTCGCTCTCGCCCCGCTGATAAAAAAAAAACGCAGTCGCTCGCCTGCGCGATGTCGTCGCGCAGCCGTCCCGCCCCCCGCCACCCAAGGGCCACGGGGCCTTGTCTACGAGGCTACATGGCTGATTTCCTCCCACCCTCTCTCTCTCTCTCTCTCTCTCTCTCTCTCTCCCCCTCCTCCGCCCCTCCCTCCGTGCCTTCCCCTCCCTCCTCCTCCTCCTCCTCCTCCTCCTCCTCCTCCTCCTCCTTCTCCCCCTCCCTCCTCCTCCCCTCCTCCTCCTCCTCCTCTCCTCCTCCCCCTCCTCCTCCTCCTCCTCCTCCTCCTCCTCCTCCTCCTCCCTCTCCTCCTCCTCCTCCTCCTCCTTGCCTCCCCCTCATCCTTCCTCTCCCGCTTCCCCGTCCCCCTCCCCCTCTCATCTGCCCCTTTCTCCTCCTCCTCCTCCTCCTCCTCCTCCTCCTCCTCCTCCTCCTTCTCCTCCTCCCAGTTCTCGTGCTTCTCTCCCTGCCCCCCTACCTCCTTCCTCTTCTCTCTCCTCCCTCCATCCTCCTCCTCCTCCTCCTCCTCCCTCGATGGCGGCCGCGGCAGGTCGTCGCCAGCACCTGCTCGGCCGTGGCCGCGACCTGA